GTAAAATGTTAATATTTATTTTGTTAGCTAAGTTATATATGGAATATTAATTTCGTTTTTAATATAATTTGGAAACAATGACATTTTATAAAAATAATAAACTAATATAATGATGTGTCATTATACGATTGGAGGACTTAAATCCTACGTGGACGTCCTCAATGGCTTATAGCCTCAACTTTTATATAGTATAGATTTGTTCATAAACCTACTCAGAGCAATAGAGAGAAAAAATAAAAAGAACAGTTATAGCTACACAGTTTGCTTCAACATTAGATATACGAGGAATATAAAAGAAGGATAGAGATGAAAAGAGAGTGGTAAGGTGTCTAATGTCACTTAAAGGATCTGCAATCTCATCAGCAAAGATCCTGAGCGCAAGTTTGAAATAAAAACGTTTAAATTCGTTAGAATTTGGAGATAGGAAAAATCCCGCAAAGATAGCAGCTGCCAATGCATCTCTCATTGCCAATACTTCAGCTATGAGTGCAGAATCCACAAAACTCCTTTGAGGCTGACCCCTCCATGAGTAGATCACTTCCCGTATTTTTAAAGAGCCGTCAGCACATATTTGGTTATTTGTTTAAGTTAAACAAAATCAAGATTTTTAGAAGGTATTAGTGGAAATTAGATTTATAAATAGTTTGTTGGTTTTAGAAGTATATGAGATATGTTGAATAAATAATTAGAGATAATTTGTATATTATGAAAATCTATGAAAATAAATATCTATAATAATTTTAAGAATTTAAAGAACGTATGTAATATTCTCAAAATTTTGTTACATGAATTAAATGGTTAAGAATACAACTCATAATAACAATAACTTTAATAGAGTTAGAAAATTATTAAATTTTAAAATTTTAAATAATAAAATATTTAATATATAATTATAAAATCATCAATCCAATATCACTAGATTTTATTAATAATGCGAAAATCAATAAACCAATAATATTAAACTCTAACAATCATTATAAGTGTAACTCCCACTAGTACCAAACCAAACCCCAAATTATTTACTACAGTTTATTTCTGTAAACCATGCTAATACCTAAATCATGTAAAATGTTTTAACCAGCTGATCAGACAAAATGACGATAAACAAGTCTTAACCAGACTTTCTGTCTGAAACGGAAGCTCTCAGACAATAAACTTCAAATCTAAACCCAAAGAAAGGATAAACTTCTGCAAAGAAGTCAGTATATCCCATCTCCCATTCGCATATCCGTCGTCTTCCTCAACAATCCAAATTTGCTCATAACAGAACACACACCATCTCTGAACTGCCTCCACGACACCTAAACCACTCCTCTCCAAACATTTCTACGCCCCCAATGAGTTTGTTCTGCAGTCCAATCAAAACCCTTTATCCAAAACCTTATCTCCTCCACAAACCTCACTTCTTTCCCCTCTCCGACACAAAACCCCGAAACCTTAGCTTCGCCGGATTCCCTCGCCGTCGTCATTCCCCAATCAAATCATGCCTGAAACCCGCATCTTCCTCCGAAATCGACATGGTACGAAACAAAGAAGGAATCTTCACCCCAAAGGAGAAGAAAGTCGTCGTCCTTTGGGACCTCGACAACAAACCCCCTCGCGGCCCACCTTACGAAGCAGCAACATCCCTCCGTCGAGTCGCGGAGCTTCTCGGCCGCGTCGTCGAGATCTCCGCCTACGCGAACCGCCACGCTTTCATCCACTTACCTCACTGGGTCGTCGAGGAGCGTCGCTCGAGAAAGAGCCTCGACTTCGCCGAGAGGAAAGGCGAAGTAATCCCCACTGATCCTTACGTGTGTGGTGTCTGTGGGAGGAAGTGTAGAACGAATCTTGATTTAAAGAAGCATTTCAAGCAGCTTCACGAGAGGGAGAGGGAGAAGAAGGTGAACCGCATGAGGTCTTTGAAGGGGAAGAAGCGGAAAAAGTTTAAGGAGAGGTATGTCTCCGGGAACGAGAAGTATAACGAGGCGGCGAGGAGGTTGTTGACGCCGAAGGTGGGGTACGGGCTTGAGAGGGAGTTGAGGAGAGCGGGGGTTTATGTGAAGACGGTGGAGGATAAGCCGCAGGCGGCGGATTGGGCGGTGAAGAGGCAGATAATGCATTCGATGACGCGTGGGGTTGATTGGTTGGTTTTGGTGTCGGATGATAAGGATTTTTGTGAGATGCTGAGGAAGGCGAGGGAGGCTGATTTGGGGACGGTTGTGGTGAGTGATAGGGATGGGGTTTTGGGGAGGGAGGCTGATTTGTGGGTGCCTTGGATGGGAGTGGAGAATGGGGAGATTGGGGAGAAGGATTTGGTGGTTGAGACGAGGAGACGGCGGGGGTTTGATGAGGAGGAGGAAGGGGATGGGTTGTTTTCGTTGGCTTATGAGGAGAGGGAGGAGAGTGATGGGTTTGGGAGGTTTAGTGTGTCTTCTGCGTTTTCGGAAGATGAGGATGAGGGAGAGTTTGAGTTGAGTGATAGTGATGATGATAGTGACGATGAGTTCAGCTTTTGAGTTGTAGTTGTGGATGTTTGAATCGGTTTAGGAGACATAAACCGGAAATTTGAGTTGGGAGAAGCTGTGGTTGATGGTGTCATTTTATGGAGCAAGCAGTATACTCTGAACTCAAAGAGTAGAACCAATCTTTTTGCGTAAGCGAAGATATTGTGCAGAAAAGCAATGAGAATTCAAGTTAATATATTGTCGAATGATTTATGATTTATTGATTAATGGTATATCTCTATTTGTTAACGCTGGTTGTTGTAAGTATTGAATCCAGGATTTTGGTTTTGCGTAGTGCTGGTGTGAAGCTAAGTGACACACTTTCTTACTTACAATCAGTGATTAACTCATGTCGATAATGATTTGCAAAAGTTCGCCTCGTTTGTTTCTGGCGGCTTTGCCACTGATTATTCATGTAAGAATCCTAACAACTGAGTGCTGTTAACTAGCCTCTATTTCTAGTTCTTACTAAGCAGTAGAAAACATATTTCATCTTGCTGATTGCCACTTTGGCGTCCTGTAATGTGATGTGTTTGTTGCACTGTGTTTGGGATTTGTTTTACTTTCTTAACATGTCTTACGACTTCAAAGTAGCACAAATGCTGTCAATGTTACATGTCTAGATTTGCAACTCTTCAAATCGCAGGACAAGTTTGGGGGTTCTTTTGAGTCTGCCAGATTCACAACATTTCATTTGAGTGTATGCAAAAGCTTGCTTTCACACAAGTATCCATAAAATGTCTACAATAGTTCATAACAATTTGTTTGTTGATTTTCCATTACCCAAATTTCATCGGTTTAACCGGTTAGATTGTTTGTAAAGTTCCTTTTTTTTTTTGTCAACTTGTAAAGTTCCTTTTATTTCCATAAACTAAACAATTCATCCAAAGAAATAACAAAAATTTTTTTTTTTATTTTCGAAATAAAACAACACTAATGTCTAGTTCGATTTCAAATTGGATGTATTATACCGGTTTTAACAGAAAACCGGACAAACATATATAAACAAAAAAGGTAATACTGTAAAATGGAAACTTCGTAAGGGGTAAAATAGTAAACTGCACAAACGACGTCAAGCTGACGCGACTGCTGTCTCATTCTCTCTCTCTCGGCTACTTATATGTCCGCTCCAAACAAAAGATCCGAAACTTTTTACAAAAACACAAATCCACTTTCCAGTTTCTCTCTTCACTCTCTTTGATTCAATTCGTGATCGGACCTTTATCGCAATCGAGAGAAAGAAATAAACAGCGACACGATTATAAAAAAAAAGAAGCCAATGGATTTCGATTCCAACGGAGGAAACAAACGAGTCTTCAACCGACTCGGCGGGTCAACCCGCCCGCCACCACAAACCAACAACACACGGCAACAAGTCTGCTTCCACTGGCGAGCGGGACGGTGCTACCGAAACCCTTGCCAGTTCCTCCACCGAGAGCTCCCGGGTCCGGGTCCTAACAAAAGGGTCGCTGATGAATCCGGGTTCGCGGGTCCGAGTCACCGGAGAGGACCCGGGTTCAACGGGAATAATAACAATAACAGTAATACGTGGGGGAGGTTTGGTGGGAACAGGACGGTTTTGACGAAGACTGAGAAAGTATGCAAGTTTTGGGTGGATGGGAGTTGTAGTCATGGGGATAAGTGTAGGTTCTTGCATTGTTGGAGTAAAGGAGATGGGTTTGCGTTGCTGACTCAGCTTGATGGGCATGAGAAGCTTGTCAGTGGGATTGCTTTGCCTTCTGGATCTGATAAGCTTTACACTGGGAGTAAAGATGGGACTATTCGTGTTTGGGATTGTGCTTCTGGACAGGTTTTTTTTTTTTTTTTAAATTTGATTTCTTGTTTTTGTTTCCTTAGGGAGGGCCTTGATGATATGCTTAATGATTATAGTTATCATTGTTTGTTTGGTTTTAGATGTAGTAGAGTGACTCAAGAACATGTAGAGCATGTTGTGAGAACCTTTATTTGTGAAAATTGGTGTCTTAGTTGTTATATTAGGAAAGTAATTGTGTAACTTTGGTTAAGCCTTTCTTAGTGGCTATTGATTTTTGATAGATTTTTTTTATTAGGGTGTACAGTGACTTGAGAGAATGCAGTTGATCAGTGTATTTACTGTGGCTACTATTTGTTTTCTCTTTGGATCAGTGTACAAGCGTGCTCACTCTTGGTGCGGAAGTTGGGTGTGTGATTAGTGAAGGCCCGTGGCTATTAGTTGGCATGCCAAATCTAGTGAAGGTAAGTTCTGTGTTTGATTGCTCTTGGCATTTTCTTTTCCTTGACTGTCACAGACTCGCAATACAGAGGAATCGCTTTTAATGCTCTATGCTTATTGAGTTTATCTTATTGTTGTTGATACAGGCTTGGAATATGGAAACGAATGTAGACCAGAGTCTCAGTGGACCTGTTGGCCAAGTGTATTCTCTTGTTGTGGGTACTGATCTACTCTTTGCAGGCACACAGGTAACATTCCAAGCTTTTTTTTTCTTGCTAAGATCCCTTCTATGAAGAATTATTGTTAATGGATATAAACATTTTACTTTCTGTGCAGGATGGTTCTATATTGGCATGGAGATATAATGCTGCCACTAACTGCTTTGAACCGGCGGCGTCACTGATGGGCCACACACTTGCAGTTGTTACCTTATATGTTGGAGCTAACCGGCTCTATTCAGGGTCCATGGACAAATCCATAAAAGTAAGAGTACTAGTATCATTTTCCATGCTTGAGTTGAAATCTCCCATTATTATTTTATGAGCTAATTGTTTTGGTTTATGTGTTTGTAGGTTTGGAACCTTGAGAATCTTCAGTGTATACAAACCCTCACGGATCATACATCAGTTGTGATGTCTCTCATCTGCTGGGATCAGTTCCTTTTGTCTTGCTCATTAGACAACACAGTCAAGGTTAGGTTCATTCTACCTATCAGATACTCTTGTCAAGTTTTTTATGTTCCCTTGTTGACGTTTTCTTTTCTTTCTTTCTTGGCTCTAGATATGGGCTGCAGTTGAAGGCGGCAACTTGGAAGTTACATACACTCACAAAGAAGAACATGTATGGTTTCTCTTTAAACGTCAATCCTCTCACTTTTGGTCCTAATCTTATAGGTAATGTAACTGACGACTTCTGTTGATGTCTGAAATTTCAGGGAGTGTTAGCTTTATGTGGTGTACATGATGCAGAAGCCAAGCCTATTTTGTTGTGTTCTTGCAACGACAATACCTTGCGTCTCTACGACCTACCTTCGTAAGTCCCTTGCAACACTTACTTGTTTTTACCAAATCTCTACTATTACTTTTGTGTTTCTTAAAAGCTTAGGGTTCATTTGTTAGATTTACGGAGAGAGGCAAAATCTTTGCAAAGCAAGAGATAAGGTCAATCCAGATAGGTCCAGGTGGCATATTTTTCACGGGTGATGGAACCGGTCAAGTTAAAGTATGGAAGTGGTCCACTGCACCAGCCGCAGCTATGTCTTGAGGAAGTTCGAAAGCCTTGTCAGAGTTCTTTCCTACGATTATCTTCTTGTACCATTATACATGGGTTCTATTGAGTTGTTTCTCTTTTTCTTATTGATGTCATCCTTCTAGTAAAGGCCATAGTCTGATGAGACTGTGTCATGTTAGGAGTTTTGAGACAGAGTTGGGAGATTTTTGGTCTTGTAACACTTGGATTTGTATGGTCATATTGTCATAATAAAGGATTTGTCTATTCAAGAAAGATTCAGAGTTGATGAGTGACGCATTCTTATTACACAAACCTTAGAAAGCAAGTGTTTATATTATTTTCACAGATTGAACATAACTTTGATGGCATTACTACCACGAGCACTGGTTTCAAAGGCATCTTCAACTTCCTTTTGAGAGAAACCGAATCTGTGGGTTATGAGTGGCTTTACATCAATCTTCCCACTTTTAAGGAACTCAAGACACAAAGGCCATGTGTTCTTGTACCTGAACACACCTACCACATCCACCTCCCTGTCTCAAAACCAAACACACATTTGTTCCCAAAGGTCATAATGATATCTTACTTTGATTAGTCAAAAAGAGGTGTTACCTTGCAGCAGCAGGAGTGAGAGGAACTGTCATTACACCGTGACCCATTCCAACAAGACAGACTTTACCACCGCATCGAGTTGCTGCTAATGCAGTCGACATGGTTTTGTTAAAACCAGCACAGTCAAATGTCACATCAATCTTTGACCCCATAGCCTTCTGAATCTGTTCAACATCGAAACCAACATCCTCTAAGCTTGTTGTGACTTTAACAATCCCATCAGCGCCAAGCTGTTTAGCCACGGTTAAACGGTGATCATCAACATCCACAATAACTATCCTAGGCACACCGAAAGCACGAGCAGCCAACATAGTGACAAGACCAATAGGTCCAGCTCCCATTACCAATACATTTGTCTCAGGACCAACCTCAGCTCGGCGACAAGCGTGTACACCAACGCTTAGCGGCTCACACATTGCTCCTTCTTCCAAACTCACATTCTCAGGCAACTTGAAGCATAGATCCGCAGGGTGAACCACTTGGTTGGCTAAAGAGCCATGAACCGGTGGAGTTGCAAAGAACTTCATCTCTGGACAGAGATTGTATCTCCCTTCTTTGCAGAGATTGCATCTCCAGCAACTAATCCCAGGTTCAAGTGCCACACGGTCACCGACCACTAGATGTTTAACTTCTTCACCTACTTGTTCAATGATCCCAGCACATTCATGTCCAATCACCATTGGTTCTTTCACAATGAAATCCGCACATCTCATGGTCTTGTTAACATGGAAACCAATGTTTAAGACCATAACAAAATCAAGAAATAAAGATTCTTTTACCAAAAAATAAATAAATAAAGATTCTCTCTGATTAATATAAGTACCTTGAGGTAATGAACATCACTTCCACATATACCAACAGCTTTCATCCTAACTCTCACATCATGAGGACCTAAAACATGATCATAACAAAAGGGTCACATGGAAATAATCTTAAAACCGTTGAAAAGGAATGAGCTTACCAACGGAAGGAAGAGGAAACGGTTGGATCTTAAGGGTGTTGAGACCAACCAACCAAGCAGCCATGTTCTCTTCTTCCACCTTTGACCCTTCTCCATGAGACATTCCTCCTTTCCCCATAACTCTTCTCTGCTTTGCTATGCTTAGATCTCAGCTATTTTAGATTAAGTGAAAGACAAAACCAAACCCACCAGAGCCTTAAAAGAATGATAAAGAAAACAAAAAGGTCAGCATCGAGATGTCCACTATAGAATTAAATAAAAGCACATGAACCACAAAAATCGAAGCGGTGGATGGCTTTTTGGATAAACCCATGTTGTTGATTAGTCTTTTTCTACCTTATCATAATCACGTTCAACGAATTATTTTACTCCTAATCTAAACTTAGACATAGTAAGAACAAGTTTCCCTAGGTAACATTGTCATTGGGTTTTCAAGAATTGGATAGTTTCTTTGACTTGAACAACATTACAAAATATCAAATCTACCAGACAAGTTCCTGAGGAACAATATTGTTGGTTAGTCTTATTTGATTAGTAAGGAATACTATATTATACCACAATCTGTCATCACTTTCATGATTTCATACAACACGAAGCAATAACAAACAAATCTCTCACTGTATATATGTACATAAAACAAGCCCATGTGACTAGTGCAGTTTTGACCATTTGTGTTTTAGTAATCAGCTCAGATTTTAATATTCTTTAAATTTAAACCATGAAAACAGCCTCAGCTAACCTAAAGTTCATCATCCCATGTTTAAAGTTCACCTATATCCTACATATAGTACGCTTGACATAAAAAATAAAATAATTGCAAATCTTCTTCTCATAAAGATCAAAGTGTCAAAGATCCAATCTTCCGTTAAAAATAATTACCAAGATCCTAAACTCTTTGCATGAATGCATGTAAGACTATAAAATAAGTGTTGGTGAACCATCAAAGCTTGCTCTCATAAAGATAAACGAAAAGAGGTTCATGAAGCTAAAGATAAACGAAAAGAGGAGGCCCATGCTTCATGATCTTATTATATAAACCCTATCAAACTTTACTCATTTGTTTGGCTCTGAGCTAAATTTAAAAGAATCACACATCCTCTTTCACCATAATGAATTCTCAAATATTATGGCGATTTCTCATAGTTTTCATCGTAACATTCATCTCCCATGCCTCGTGTTTTCCAAATCAAGGTACAATATTTTATTGTGTTACTTTTATAAAAAAAAAAATATATCATTGTTTCTTTACGTATCCATCATTCAATGTGTGACAATATAAATTTTTAATATTCATTTTGTGTAATCTTTTTTTTTTCCCGTGAAGCTGGGTACTATAGTTTTATGAAAGATGCAAAACTCGCACCAATGTTCGCTCGCTTCGACTACATAATCATCGGAGGAGGAACCTCCGGTTGCGCGTTAGCCGCAACGTTATCTCAAAACGCTACCGTTTTGGTTCTTGAACGTGGCGGCTCGCCACACGATAACCCCCTGGCGACGGATATAGGAAACTTTGCAACAACACTCTCAAACACATCACCCAAATCATGGTCGCAGCTATTCGTCTCCGAAGACGGCGTTTACAACACACGTGCGCGCGTCCTAGGTGGAGGCTCGGTGCTGAACGCTGGATTTTACACACGTGCGGGAGATGAATACGTGAAGGAGGCTGAGTGGAAGAGTGATGAGGTTGAAGCTGCTTATGAGTGGGTCGAGGAGAAAGTAGCGTTTCAACCGCCAGTGATGGGATGGCAAACGGCGTTGAAAGATGGGCTTTTGGAGGCTGGAGAGTTTCCTTACAACGGTTTCACGTATGATCATATCAATGGGACAAAGATCGGTGGTACGATATTTGATCAAGCTGGTCATAGACATACTGCAGCTAATTTGTTGGAGTATGCTAATCCGAACACGCTTGCTGTTTATTTGCATGCTACTGTTCACAAGATCGTCTTCACCACCAAAGGTATTTGAATGATTTACATTTTTTTTCCTTTCCCTCGTGCTATTTTTTGGTTTTGTTCGGTTTGAGTTGGCATGGTTTTTTTTGTATCTATGAAAGATATGTCTAATTAAAATAAAATTTTGTTTAAAAAAAAGAAATTAAAGAATTTTGGTTTAGTTTGGTTTAATAAGATGAAAACAGGTTTGAACAAATTCAGTTAACAATATAGTTTTGGTTGATTTTTGTTTGGTTTTCGGTTTTATCTATTTAGTACGTAGTAACTTTAACCTAATAAAAACCATTTGAAGTTTGGTTTTTGGTTTTGATTTGCTAATATATAACTTCTTTAAATTAATATTCTATAAATTAATATACATTAAAAATCTCTATAAAATAATATAATTTTATAGTGCTAAAATGAGTTTTTGGTTCAATTAGTATATCTATAAATTAATAATTTCTATAAATTAATAAAAAAATTATAATTCTGGTGTAGTCCCAACGTTATTAATTTATAGAGGTTTCATTGTATATCTATATCTAAACTATATCTAATTAAAAGGATAAAAGGTTCGAATTTTGGTTTAGTTAGGCTTACTTATAGGAAATCACCTTTTTGGTTTTATTTGAATATTATAGTTCAGTTTTTGGTTTATATATGCTCACCTTTACTTTTGAATATGAAAATATGTTTTGAACAGGAAGGCCAAGACCAAAAGCATACGGAGTGATATTTCAAGACGCAAATGGAGTGTTACACAAGGCAGAGCTGGCAAAAAACGCAATGAACGAGGTGATTTTGTCAGCGGGTGCCATCGGCAGCCCACAGCTGCTGATGCTGAGCGGCGTGGGTCCTATGGCTCATCTTGCAGCTCACGGGATTAAACCGGTGGTCTTAAATCATCCAATGGTCGGGCAAGGGATGGGAGATAATCCTATGAATGCCATCTTTATTCCTTCTCCTACTCCCGTGGAGGTTTCTCTAATACAAGTCGTTGGGATCACAAAGTACAATAGTTACATCGAAGGAGCAAGTGGCGTAATCTTTTCATATAGTTGGACTCGTAATTATTTCGAAGGTGTTTTGGACTATCTCAACCAGGTATAATATACATAAACACATTAAACCTTGTCACAACTTTATTATTTTCTAATGAAGTTAACTATGTGATAATGTTTTTCTTTTCTTTGTGTAAGATGCAGGCAAGCCGTACTAATACATCTACAACATTCTCGACTCAATCCATCACAGATTTTTTCAAATCTATACATCCGTTATTGAGTACAACAAAAGCCGGTTTGATCCTCCAGAAAGTGGCTGGACCGGTCTCGAGAGGTCACTTGGAGCTTAGGAATACAAACCCAAATGATAATCCTTCAGTGAGATTTAACTACTATCAAGAGCCAGAGGATCTAAAAAAATGTGTCGTAGGGATAACCACTATTATTAAAGTGATTAACTCAAAGGCATTTTCAAAATTCAAGTACCCCGAAGCGACCATACATGGCTTGCTCGATCTAATACTAAGCATTCCCACTAATCTGAGGCCGAGGCACGTAACCTCGGCGTTTAATTTACAGCAATTTTGCATAGACACTGTGATGACTATTTGGCATTATCATGGGGGTTGCCAAGTTGGAAAAGTGGTAGACAAGAATTACAAAGTTTTAGGCATTGATGCTTTAAGGGTTATAGATGGATCAACATTTCTCAAGTCTCCGGGGACTAATCCTCAAGCTACGGTTATGATGCTTGGAAGGTAAGTGCATAAACTAAATGAAAAAGTGATCCAAAACATATTGAGCTATTTGATTAAGAAATTATTGCTACATGTAGGTATATGGGACAAAAGATTATTCGAGAGAGGGGGGCTTTCCACAAAAAGGATGAAGAAGCATGAGCTATTACTTTCAGATAGTTCTTGTGCGTAGAATATGCTTTGATTATAATCTTGCCTATTACACTTTCAAAAGAAGTGGCTTGGAAAGTGAAGCATCTTCTATATGTAAGAGAGGATAATCCTTTGAACATATTCGGTTGCTCAAATAGTTTATTTTTGGTTATATAAATTGCGTAGAAGTTGTTACCACAAAACCTCAGGAGAAAATTGTTAGATGAAAGAAGTCAGTGAAAGGGAAATTCAACTTTGGCAAAGAAACTATAATCAGTGAGACAACATGTTGCTCACAAGTTTGAAATTGAGTCTTTGCCAAAGGAGAGTTGCCCTTTACTGTTCTATCTTTGATTGTATTCAAGCGTAATTTGCAACTCATTTTCTCTTATCCTTCTTCACATGGTACTTGCTTCTATGTATTTCTACTGCTTTTACTTCTTATTTGAATGCTTGTTTTATTTATTTTGTGGAAAGGCACAACCAGTAATGTAAGTTTAGATCGTGCATTGTATGAAACCGGTTGAACTCATTAATGATTCATCTTAAACCGAAGAAGGCACCAACTTTACCCAACGTTATAACTTTGCATCAAATTAAGAAGATGATCACTAATCATCTTAGTTAAAGGCATAACTAGTACTTGACAAAATCAATAAGACAATAGTCACTCTTATATTTGGACAACGAAGAGCATATATTGGCCTCATATTTAACGATTGATTAGTCCCTTTTATCCCCAAAAGCATGTCTCTCTCGAAGAATCTTCTGCCCCATGTACCTGCAAATACCACTCCATTAATCAAATATGATTTAAGTCTTTAACATGTATATATATGTATCATTTGGGTTGTTGCATATATCTTACCTTCCGAGCATCATTACCGTGGCTTGAGGATTAGTCCCTGGAGACTTAAGAAATGTGGATCCATCGATGCAAAATTGCCTCAAGTTGAACACTGAGGTCACATGCCTCGGCTTCAGATTGGTGGGAAGGCCCAGCATGAGATTGAGCAATTCACGTCCGGTTGCATTTAAGTACTTGTATTTGGAGAACGCATTCGAGTTTATCACTTTAATAATGGTTTTAAGTCCTTTTACACATTTCTCAAGATCCTCTGGCTCTTAATTGGTAGTAGTTGAATGTCACAAATGGGTTATTATCTGGATTGGTATTCCTGAGTTCTTTAAATATAGAACCAATTATGGTGATAAGTAATTGAGAAATATCCAGATTGGGTAATTTAGTAAATCCCATTTGATATCTTGAATCAACAAATCCAACTACACATTGTTCACAAAATTTCGGGTCTTTTTTTTTTCATCTCCGATCACTCGATAATTTTCACAAACGAACGGTTTAGTTTTCAAATTAAAATATTATTTAAGTATATTTCTCCAAATTTTCCTTTAGTTAATTTACATATACGCAAGTATAGTTTTAAAAAAAACATTATAAAGTGGTGTATTTTACAAAGTAAAATCTAATAGATATATACATTTTTCCAAATTTTCCTTTTATATTATCCAAAATTTTCAAAGCAGATTTTTAAGGTAAAAATAAAAAGAAAAGAGAAAATGATAATTAAATAATTAATTCATTTAAATTCTTCTATAATCATCCTTCATAAATATCAACGTAAAATCGATGATTTTTCAAATAATATTATACATATATATTACCTGCAATTGTTTTTGACATCGATCCATCTTTTTCTAAGACCACTATATATCATCTCATTCATTTCTGTTTCATTGATTTTTGTTTATTCCTAAACACATCCATTTACACGCCTTATTTTCTTCTTACGCCAACAAGTCAGATTTCCCATTTTATAATAAAACGGTCATATTTGTTTCTCATCACATGAACTTATTTTCTAAACTTGTTTCATGGCCATTCAAATTTAAGAAATGTGCGAAACATTTGAATAATTAAATACTTTTGACCTCTGCGGGCAGATTTGAATTGTCTCATGAAAATTTTAAATTACATAGTTAATACTGTCTGCGCTACCACATTTTGAATTTTCTTTGTTGAGTGCCAACATATCAAACCAAATAATCTTTTCAAATCACACATGGAATTTTTTATGTTGGGGTCAATACAAAAATTCTATAAAACGGCCGGCTTCAAAGAATTGTCTTACCTAATGCTTTTTAAAATAAAAAAATAAAAATAATCTCTTCTTTTTGTTAGAATTTGTAAAAACTCCTTTCGTAAATTGTATAAATATGTAATTTCCGTTAATCTCTTCGGTCACTAAAACTAAAACTAATACTCCAGCATATAGAGAGATATTTAAGCACAAACAGACTGCAATGTCAACATTTCCTCGAGCTTACCCGATGAGCGGTGGTGATGATCAACACAGTTACATCAATAATTCTTCATATCAAGTATGTCTTTTTGTTTTCAATATTATCAAAGTATATCGTATGTTATGATATAATGTGAGTTATTTTTTTGTATTCTAACGAATAAGTGATTATACTCTATATTATAACAAAATTGTGATTATATAGTATGAATATTTTTTCCTTGAATTTAACCATGTTATTTGTTATCTTTATATGGTGTGTGTGTAAAACATGTTTTATTAGCTAACATTTATATGTGCATGGAACAGATAGCAGCTATAAATAGCGTTGGAGAAAAGACAAGGCAATGCATCATAGAAAAGCTCGATCTCCCTCTCAATTCTGATCTTGGTACTTTTTGTATTGCCGATTATGGTTGTTCCATTGGACCAAACACGTTTCAAGTTGTTCAAAGCATCATTGATGCTGTGAAATTCAAACAATTGGAGGACAACAACGAAAAAAGCCTTATACCTCTCGAATTCCAAGTGTTCTTCAACGATCAACCTAACAATGACTTCAACACACTCTTTAAAACCCAACCTCCTTCATCTGAGCGGGAATATTTCTCGGCTGGAGTTCCAGGGTCCTTCCATGGCCAAGTGTTACCAAGGAACACCGTCCACATTGGACACACTTCTTACACGACTCACTGGCTTTCCAATGTTCCACAGCACGTAGATGACAAGAACTCTCCAGCTTGGAACAAAAATTACATTCAATGTAATAACTCAATAGAAGAAGTGACCAAATCTTATAAGGTCCAGTTCACAAAAGACATGAAGTTTTTTCTTGAAGCTAGAGCAGAAGAGATAGTTCCAGGAGGGTTAATGATTGTTTTAGGACAATGCTTGCCCGATGGTGTCCCCTTGTTTAAGACATGTCAGGGTATTTTGGTGGATACGATCGGTGATTGTCTTATGGATATGGCCAAATCGGTTAGACATATATTTATTTTTTTATTTTTTTATTTTTTTGGTAAATGTTAAAAGCGATTTAGTGTCATCAGAAATTGCTAGTAATCAGATTTTTTTTTTCTTCTTTTGTAGGGACTAACGAGCGAGGAAACGATCGGGCTATTCACCCTTCCTGCGTATTTCCCACAATTTAGTGAATTAAAGACAGAGATTGAGCATAATAGAAGCTTTACAATTGAGATTATGGAGAGTGTACGTCATCCATTGGAGGATATTCCATTATCCAACGACTTCTTGATTTCCATGTTTAGAGCTATTCTCAGCACGATCATAAAAGAACATTTCGGAGATGTGATCGATGAGCTATTTGATAGGGTTGCAAAGAAACTCGCCAAGTACCCGATTGACTTTAACGAGTGCGAGAAATTTGTGACCTATTTTATATTGCTTAAGCGAAAATGAATAAGTGAGATACTAAAATAAAGAATCATGTTGTTATGAATAAAAGGTTTTCTTTTTCCTGTTCTCACAATTGTGTGAAGATCATACACTACTTATTGAGCTAAAGACCCGTTGTTATGAATTTTTTATACTAAACCACTAATAAGATACCTTTTTTTTTAATATAATAGACAAAGAAGTTTGATTATAACAAGAACATTTTCATTGGAAGTTTCTCATTTAGTTATTTTCCAGTACCTATAAATAAATAATAACATTTTTATTATATTGGTAAGTTCAAATAGACAATTATATCCATAGTTTTATTTTTAAAATTAATTTAGGGGTAAACTGATTCTTAAATAGAACTGCAGCTCATAGATAAACTCTTTCTACGGATATGTAAATGGACTAAAACAGTAATTCATATTCGTGTAATGTCTGAACAATGTGCTTTAGTTTCGCGTAGCAGGTGAATCGAATCTGAAACGTGTTGATATCTTAAATCCGTCTTTTTAGCATTCGACCACCATGTTTTAGACTCTACCCATAAACATTTAAATGATATTTTTGGATAGAGTTATAAATTATCTATTAGAGCTAAAATTATTAATTTTAAAAAGTATAGTAGGTTCAGTGTGTTAAAATTTTATAATTCATGTGAACGTGCTTTTTCCTTTCGGGACTTTTCTTTGTTTTCGTGTTTCTGTTAGATTTTTTCTGTTTTCTTTTCTTTTCATTTTGGAGTTATGTTTTCGTTTCAGTTTAGCTAATTAATCTTGATAATAATTTTGACTAAAAGCTATAAGTAGCACATAAGAAGTTTGATTATATTTATCTTTGATTAATAATAGAGACGAGAAAATTTGGTGGTTTCAGAATTTTCAGTGAATCTACGAAAACTTCAAATATATTGTCTCAAGTATGGGTACTGAAATTCATTACCAGGATTTTTGTCCTTTTTAGATCTATGTATCGAAAATCGTGGTAGTTCTTAGCTTTCAGTACAGAATTCTCTTTAGTACTTAGAATTAGTCTCTTGATACACCTGGTACACGTTTAGCCTAGCTCTAATAAAATTAAAACTAATTTACAGCTGAGATATTCAAAATGTGTTTTGCAGAATAATGTTTCCCAACAATAGGGGACTTAACATTTTACTAAAAAAAAAAAACAAAGAGGACTTATTGTTGGAGGCCTAAGAGAGAATGCAAATTCAACTATTTAATCTGGATTCATCTCAATTTATTGTCTCTCATACTTCTTCCTGATTTTTGAAGAACGCCGCCCTCTCTTTAAGAATTTTCTGCCCCATGTACCTACACAAAGCACTCCAGCAAGGCAGCAATCATATATATGTCTAATGTACATAACATGTTATCGAATAATCTGTTCTTATGTTTTTTTGCACGTACCTTCCTAGCATCATAACCGTAGCTTGAGGATTAGTCCCCGGAGACTTAAGAAACGTGGATCCATCGATAACCCTCAAAGCATCAACGCCTAAAACCTTGTAATTCTTGTCAACCACTTTTCCAACTTGACAACCTCCATGGTAATGCCAAACAGTCACCACAGTGTCGATGCAAAACTGCTTCAAGTTGAACACTGAGGTCACATGCCTCGGCCTCAGATTAGTGGGAATGCCCAACATGAGCTTGAACAGCCCACGTGCGGTCACACCAGGGTATTTGTACTTAGAGAAGGCTTTCGAATCTATCACTTTAATAATCGTTTTAAGTCCTTCGACACACGTGTTCAAATCCTCTGGTTCTTGATAGTAATTGAATGTCACCGAAGGGTTATCGTCTGGATTCATGTTCCGAAGCTCCATGTGACCCCTCGAGGCTGGTCCCGCCACTTTTTGAAACATCACATTCACAGTTTTCATATCTTTAAATCCACGATCCAATGATTTTAATAAGTCTACAATGGGTTGGGTTAAGATTTTCGTCGATGTAGTACGGTTTGTCTGCATAATGCATGAATAGTCTCATAAGTAACACATAGTCACTAAAATAATAAGTCATAAAAATTTTAAATTTATTTAATTATGTTACTATACCTTGTTCAAAACATGTAAAACACTATCGAGAAACTTACGGGTCAAATCAAAAGAGAGGGTCATGTTATTTGATCCTTCGATGTAACTATCAAACTTAGTGATACCAACAGCTTGTACAAGGGACATTTCTCCGGGTGTAGGAGAAGGAATATAGATGGGATTCATGGGATTGTCGCCCATCCCTTTGCCAACCATTGGGTGATCTAAGACCACCGGTTCAACCCCGTGAGCTGCAAGATGAGCCATAGGACCCACGCCGCTCAGCATCAATAGTTGGGGGCTGCCTATTGCTCCAGCCGACAAGATTACTTCATTCATTGGGTTATTTGCTAATTCTACCTTGTGGAGCACTCCATTTGTGTCATGAAACATCACTCCGTACGCTTTTGGTCTCAGGCGGCCTGTTTTTTTTCATAAATTAAACAAAGAATAATTAATTTAGTTAATTTTAAATAGTGGATTCTTTTTCAAAATTACGCTTTTGCAAAAAAAAAAAAAATTAGAAAATCAGTGATAATTTAAATATGTTATTTTATCATAGTTATGCAATATGCCAATCTACATCAATACTTTAAACCACTAAATCAAGTATAATCAGATGTTTTTTTTTAAGTAAACAATCATTTAAACTAATTATCTAAACTAGTTGGCCAATATTTGGGCTGTCGACAGATTGTTAACTGACAAAAAATCGCGAAGGTAGTTGTCGTATCTATATCATAAATGTATAAGTTAAAAATATACTTTTCTCCGTATTTTCCTCACCGTGTTGTGCGTTCTTCCTCTTCTTAAAGAATTCATACAGATACAAGATTTTGAATATTTTTCCTAAACGTCTAAAGATTTTTATAAGTTTTAAAAATATTTCTTATTTAAGAAATCATCACTTTTTATTTTAATTAGTGTATAACATTTCAAATCGTACTTTACAAAATTTCTCGTTAAAAGTACTATATTTTTTAAAAAAGTAAATGAATGTAAATAATACCTGTTTTGGTGAAGAGAATCTTCTGGACAGATGCATGCAAGTATACAACAATATTATCTGGGTTAGCATACTCCAACAGATTCGCCGCTGTGTGTCGATGACCGGCACTGTCAAAGATCGTACCACCGATCTTAGTCCCGTAAATATGATCATACGTGAAACTATTGTTTGGAATCACACCAGCCTCCAAAAGCCCATCTCTAAACGCTGTTTGCCATCCCATCACACGTGGCTCGAACACAAGTTTCTTCTCGACCCATTCGTAAGCAGCTTTCACTTCCTCGCGCTCCCACTCAGCATCCTCCACGTATTCATCTCCCGCACGTGTGTAGAATCCGGCGTTGATCACCGAGCCTCCACCGAGGACACGTGGTCGTATGTTGTAAACGCCATCCTCGGAGATGAAAAGCTGTGACCACGAGTTTGGTGTGATATTAAAGAGTGTGTTAGCAAAGTTTTCCAAGTCACTCGCCGTTGGATTATCATAAGGAGAGCCACCACGTTCGAGAACTAAAACGCGGGCGTTTTGAGAGAGCGTTGCGGCTAATGCACAGCCTGAGGTTCCTCCTCCGATGACTATATAGTCGAAGGTAGCATAAGTTGGTGCTAGTGTTGCATCTTTCAAAAATGTATAATGCCCTGCTTCACAAATAGAGATAACAAAAAATATGAATCTTGAAATGGATACTAAGAATAGTCTTATATTCAACATATCATCACGCATTTATAATGATACCAATATTAAACTAGGAATGTACCTTTATCGCAATAACACGAGCTATGGAAGATAAAAATTGCTACGAGAATAATGAATATATGAAAACCCATTCTAATGTAAGATTGTGTTAACTATGTTCGGAAAGAAAATACTTCTTGTTTCCTGCGCTTTATACAGGTATGAACTGTTGGGAATGTCCTAAAATCATTTGTACTTACTCTGGTTAAAGTCGAAACGTCAAGGTTTGACAATCATATAAAATTGGGTGGTTGTAATGTTTTGCTAGAAACCGCTTATAATCTATAGATTGAGAATCTATTACTAATATTATATGATCCTATAGGGTCACACACCTAAGCAAATTGGATTATAATTATTTTAGGG